AAAATAATTAAAAAAAACGAATGTTCAATATTAAATCTATAAGACATTTTCTGTTTGTGTCTGAATCCGATTTTAATTTTTGAATATATTTTATATATATATATATATATATATATATATATATATATATATATATATATATATTCAGATTCATTTCTGTAGTTTACTGCCCAGCTCAGAAATCAATTTATGAAATAATAAAAAAAAAACGAAAGAATTTAATCTAAAACCCACTGTGTCTGAAGATTTTAATTTTTTAGTAAATTTTTATTGTTCAATATATATATATATATATATATATATATCAGATAATGCATTTTCCAAATCAATTTAACTTTTTTTTAGAACCCGGTATATAAATAAATATAAAGACTATATATATATATATTCCCTATATATATATATATATATATGAGGAGGCAGCCATGTAAATATTGCATTCATTTTTAGCTAATATTATTCCATTTACTTCAATAAATAATAAGCCTGGTTTCTTCCAATTAACTACAGTGAGCGAATTCAAAGACCAAGATGACATGCAATCCATTTACCGAATATTCTCAACCACATTCCAAGTTTGGAAACAAAACCAAACTATGGAGACGTAGGCTAGAAGATAATCGAGAATTTTCAGAGGCGGCGGAGCTGTGGTCCTGTGGGCAGGACAATGCTTACTGAAAGGAAAAGATCCACACAAAGATAAACAGTCAACAATTAAGTTAAAAAGATGATGCCCCCGTTCCGTATTATTTTCGCGGCACACACACACACACACACACACACATATATATATATATATATATATATATATATATATATATATATATATAATCCATCAGTGACTTAGCATATTTAGCCTCGACTATTCCTAAAAATATCAATTCCTGAAAAAGCTTCCCAGTCCATTAAAACAAATCAATTCTCTCTCTCTCTCTCTCTCTCTATAAAAAAAATATATATATATATATACCTCGAAAATTGGTTACAAATCCTTCTTACTAGATCAATTTCGACTGGGTAGTGAGTTCGATCTTCGCATGTGTCCCATACTTTCGGCTCTCCACATCTAAGCTTTAGAAAATCACTATATATATATATATATATATATATATATATATATATATATTGGCATGATTGCATATGTCGCCTCTATACTTCTATGTTCACTTATATATATATATATATATATATATATATATATATATGTATACATGTTTATATAAATTTAAATAAATAATTATATATATATATATATAGATAGATAGATAATGTATTTGTGCGTTTTGCATATAGAATCGTTATTTCTAAATTGGTTCATTTTCGCTTTATGATAATATATTTTAGCAAGAAACAAGACAGAAAAAAATGGAAAAAGAAAGACGTTATGATATGAAAATTTGTAAGAAAGAAAACGGGAAAAAAATTGCGTGACTGAAATACTTAAAACGGTGCGTGTAATAACAATTATCAATAAACATCTTTATTTTTTATGATATGATTTCGCCTTACGGGCATATGTCGTTGAAACACAAGTTCTTCTCCCATCACCGACGTTAAACCACGTAGAACCTGGTCGCTACCAAGATGGGTGACCCCTCGGGTAAAGTTGGATGTTCCTGTCATGTTATGGATAACTGTTTGGAATGAGAAATTGGAGAACAAAGTACGAATTCAGTTTGTTTATTTGTATATATAAATATATAAAATATATATATATATATAAAAAAATCATTGTATCAGAAAATCATTATTATTTGCAATCTATCATGAAAAATAACTGTAAATCATGTTATTAGCCGTCTACCGGCCTGAATATTCGAGAAATTTTTAAAGAAAAAAAAATGCTTCTACGATAATATTTCAATTATATAGACGAAAATAAATAAATATATAAATAAAGGGAACGTATATCCATAAAAAATAACGTTAAATGGGATAAAACATCTTTGATAAAATAAACATCCATTATTTTAAAAAATTTTTTATTTACGTTTGGAAAATAAATAAGAAAATTTGGAAGAATTTTTTGAAGAGAAGGATATATATATATATATATATATATATATATATATATATATATATAGCACATCACACAATAGTGCGGGTGTTAATAAAACAGTATCCGATGCATTTATTTATTTTAATAAATATTATTATCCTTCATCCAAGCAAAATAAATGCAATTTATCTTGCTGAGTATGGACTAAATTTGAATTTTAAATTAAAAAATATTGACATTTATTTTTTTATGTGGAATTAAGTATTTAGATTTTTTAATTTTTTTTGAAAAAAATAATGAATTTATCTATGTATGATTAAAATTAAAAAAATGTTTATTTTTTTAAAAAAATATATTTTTAAATTTAAAAAATTAATTTATATTTTAAAAAAATATAAATATTAATTTATATTACAAATAAATAGTAATTTACATTAAAAACAAATCGTAATTTACATTAAAAAAATAATATTTAATTTGGATCAACATATTTAAGCAGATATTTATTTTTATGCCTACATGTAACAATCAATTCATTTCTCTTGTTTAATAAGATCGGATTTTTTTATGTGTTTAAATATAACCAGTGTTTCAACAAATTACATTTGTTTCCTTTTACGTCAACAGATTTGACACTTGCTATAATATCACAGTTAATAGACAGGGAACTACCAATATTTTTTTAATTGCCAGAATATTTATATAGCGCATTGCTATTTCTGCATTTGATATTACCTAAAGTCATTTGATGATGGTAGAGACGAAATTTCCAAGGATTTTCAATGGAACCAAAATAAAATTTAATATCGTTCCGGGAACGTATGCCCGCTTAGTATACAATATTATCTGTTATACATTGACCATTTAAGGGACAGATCATATTTTTCGGCAACTTCTCTTATTATTAGACGGATTTCGTTGTCTTTATTGGAAATGAAATTTATTTAGTTTTTAAGATGAGTGATGGACGTATCTGTTATAAATGCAAGTATAACTGATCTGAACGTTATTTTTGTTAAAAAATCTTTTTTAATATTGGTAAATAGTTAAAGTACTTATGAATGAAATTTAGGAACATTCATCCGATATTAGTTTTAACATTACGGTTAGAAGGTGGATTAAACTATATAAAGTTGCATTTACGGTATTTCTGCTTATTTTTACCTTCTTTGTTAATTTTTAAATACTCTAAATTTACTTTATGATGGTTTAGTTCTTAAAACCCTATTATATTTAATTTTAGACTTATCAAATCTTTCCTTATTTCAGAAGTTGGTGGATACTCTAACTTAGATCGATTTATGTAAATTATTTACAATTTTGGGGTGGTTTGATTCTTTAATAACGTATCTATGGATATATAGATATTTTTTTGCTTGGGGTGAAACGCTTAAAAAAAAATGTAATAATTACCAATACATCAAATCGCCCTCAGTTGGAATTTTACGCACGTTGTAAACCAAAAATTATTGCCTACCCAAAACATGATAGTATTGAATGCCTTTCAGAAATCAGCTAATAACCTTCTCTATGCATCATTTTTTATGTATACGATCATGTCTCTCCACTGCTTCCTCTCAGTTGTAACTCTTAATAAACATTAATTTTCTGTTTTTTTTTTTCTAAACTCTGTTCCGCCATCCATTTACTCAATATCGCTAAGTATAATAGGCTCTGTTTTCCTCTGTCACAGTTGCCCTCTATCTGTCTCGTGTGTATCCGATTTTCCAAGCCGTCCCTCCTCATTACATTCCGCATTCATGTCAATTTCCTTTTCCTGATCTTAAGTACTAGTTTTCTTTTTTTCCATTTTCTCTAAACCTTGGACGTTGATCACATGTTCTGTCCATGGTATCCTCAGCATCCTTCTATAGAACCACATTTCTATGCTTTAAGTCTCCTCTTCATCTATGAGGAGATCGTTCAGCCCTCAGGGGAGGAGGACAGATATCCTATATCAGTTTAGTACTCTTTCCCTTGTATCTGGAGATTTTTTTTTCAGTTGCTTAATAATCTACTTAACTTTTGGAATGATTTTTGGCTATCCCAATACACCTTTGGATTTCGGTGTCACATGGAAAAAAAAAACAGGAATAAGTACCGATTTTAATTCAAGAGCTCTTAGAAATTATACTCCTCAGTATGTACAGAATAAAGAGAAATATATTAAAGATATAGTACAGTTATACAAATGTTACATGGTAAATTTTGCATTTATTTTTTTAAAATCATTTCGCTCCAAGCGAAGCAAGAAAGCCACTAAGACGTAAGAATCTATCTCCGTGTACATCTCCTTACGAATTGATAAAATAATTAAACTATGGTCCGTCTACGAAATTCTGACATAGAAGTGCTGAATATAACATCAACCAATTAAATAACGAATGTTATATATATATATATATATATATATATATATATATATATATATATATATATATATATAATCCCACTAATGTTCGATCTCTGATATCGAATATTTTATTGAAAAGAATTCCTGCTTAAATGTCCTTTCTTTCAGAATTATAATGGCAACATTTTTGGCTTCACATCATCCTCATTATATATATATATATATATATATATATATATATATATATATATATATATATTATATATGGGGTGTATATTGTGTGTATTGTGTATATACATAGTATTACTTACGTGTGATTAACACGGTAAAAATTCTATAGTAATCTGAGATCAAAGAAACAATGTTTAACTATATTTTCGACACAGGGTGTACGTATTTACAAAAGCCCCATCCGATTTTCACACCCGCCAACTGAACATGCCACCTGTAGATTCTTCGGAATAAAAGAATGAACAAACAAGACAGGGAGATGGCGAGACAGACAATGCCACAGACCATGTCTGCTTTGCCTGCATTTAAGAAGTAAATAACTTTTAATTGATAAACTGTACGAAAATAATTTACAGAAAGAATTCAGAGAGAAAGATCCCGCTTTGAAGGTAAAAAGATTTCCTGCCAACAACTGGGTTAGAACAGTGAATTATGGGGTTTTGGCATAATTCCTATTTTGACATCTTCGAGGTTCTGGTGCAGTGTCTTGGATAGACATATAGATAGATATATAGATAGATATATAGATAAGTAGTTAATAAAAGATATTGAGATAGATAGATAGATAGATAATAAACATATTTGGATAGATAGATAGATAGATAGATAGATAGATAGATAAAAAACATATTTGGATAGATAGATAGATAGATAGATAATAAAGGAACTGAGATCTAGATAGATAGATAATAAACATATTTGGATAGATAGATAATAAAGGAACTGAGATCGATCGATCAATAGATAATAAACATATTTGGATAGATAGATAGACACATAGATAGATAGATAGATAATAAAGGAACTGAGATAGATAATAAACATATTTGGATAGATAGATAGATAGATAATAAAGGAACTGAGATCGATAGATAATAAACATATTTGGATAGATAGTAATTTTCCAAGCGTAGCTTGGATGTGGCACAAGGCCGAAAGTAAGGGGCACCCAGTGAGGATCGAACTCACTACTCATTCGCAATTGTTCCAGTGAGACAAGCTTGCTAACCATTACACCACCTCGTGGTGCCCAACATATTTGGATAGATAGATAGATAATAAAGGAACTGAGATCGATCGATAGGTAGATAGATAGATAGATAATGAAGGAACTGAGAAATCAGTATCCAGAGTCGACAGACAGTTCCATGCTTAAATGTTAAATGCAATCGTCAGTCCTACTGAAGCGATAATAAAAGTGAAATATGTTAGTTGATAAACGATTACTATTTGTGATACATATATATATATATATATATATATATATATATATATATATATATATATATATATATATATATATATATATATATATATATATATATTAAAAAGAAAATTGAAAAATGTTCATGAAAGTATAATGTATCCGCTAATGTATTTCGTCCATTTTGGGCTTCATCTGATCATTTACCCAAATACTTGACACTAATACACTCACACACATACACCCACACCCACACACATATAAGCATATATATATCTGCGTCGGCGTGACCAGGGAATATAGTTCGGCCAAGAAGTTCCCGTGGATGTAGCGGTAAGACAGCGAGGGGCTTGCCGCATTCTGCCTGTGGGGGAGAGGTTGAAGAGCGGTGAATAATTCTTCACTCTTAAGAGCTTGGAGACGCTTTTGAATTTTCTCAATTCTGGGGAGTGATGTCTAGGTTGCTCCCACACAAATGTGACAACAGTACTCCATTTTTGGCATAATCTGGCTCTTGTAATAGTAGAGGATAGCATGAGGAATTAGGTACTTTCTTCCAGAGAGCAGACTCTTTTACCTGTCCTAATCAACAGTCAATATTTAAGAGTTCCACGGCAGGTCCGGTGTGAGTTTGAAACCCAACAGTCTTTTCATGGTAATGTGCTTCATCGTGAGTCCCTCCGTTCATACACACCGGTGATGATGAAATGTAACTAGCTTGGTCTTCAAGAAATTAAGTATAACAAGCCAGTTTTTTCCCGACGTAGTTTTTACATGATCCGAAGAGGGTTCAGTGTCTAATCACTGACCTTTGAAAGTTTCAGATGTTTCCAAATGATCTTAGTATATTCTTAGGCAGATCATTTATGTAAATCAAAAACAGAATTGGTCCTAGGCTTGACCGCTGGCGTATGACTGCGTTGACCCCTTGGGTTCCCTAGGACTGGACATTGAAAACTACCTTCAGGGACCTACCTGTAGGAAGGCTTTTTGTAATGGGGAAGACCCTTCCAGTGATTCCATAACTGGAGAGTTTTTGTAGTAAGCCTTTGTGTCACACCTTATCGAAGGCCTTTGAGATATCTAGTGCTATGGTAGTCGAGGTGTATTTATCGTGAATAGTCTCACTGATTCTGTGAATGACGGCAGTTAGGACGTCGGCAGTGGATCGGGCTGACCGAAACACATACTGCTCGTCGCTGAAGATTCTGTTCTTTTCTAGGTATTTCTTATTGATTATGGCTACAAAGAGCTTTCTGGTGATACTGAGGAGACTGGTGGGTCTGTACTGGGAGGGGCAATATCGCACGCCCATGTTCTTGAAAACTGGGCACTTTCTACATGCTTGGGAAGGATTTCTCCTTCAAGGAGCTGGTGAATAACATTGCTAGGGTTGGGGATAATTCCGGGTTGATATTCTTGATATTTCTTATTTGCAATGGAAAGTTCTGTGACTGTAACCAATTATTTAAAAGAAAAGTTGAAGACATCTGGCCGTTCGGACGTTTCAAATCATTGTTTCTACATTGTACTTAATTTTCATCAACGATTTTCCTGGTGTCATCAGTTCTCGAGTCGGATCTATGCTAATGGCACAAATATTTATTCCTGTCTTAATAATAAATCAGATCGCTTCAAATCAGGTCAAATTGACAGGTGATCTAAAAATGACATACAATCTTTTATTAACTGGTACAAGGAATAATTCATTAATTTTAACGCTTCAAAAACGAAACTGTTCATTTAATCATCTTAGAGAACCTTTTATCCGTATGGCTAATGCTAACCTCCAGAAGAGTGAAACATTGCAGCTTCACAGGTTAAAGTTTTTCGCTGACATGAAGTGGAAAGATTATATTGAATCAACTGCTAGGTCTGCGGCCTGGGAAGTTTGTTTTTTTTTTGTTTTTTTTTTTAAGCATTTCACCCCAAGCAAGGCGGGAGGCCACTAGGACGCAAGGGGTTAAGAAAATTTATAGCAAGATCAGATAGGAGTGATAGAAGAAAGGATGAGGGCAGTGGATAGATCAAGGCAACTGGAGATGTCGATTGACATTACACTTGAATAGGTGGAGATTATAGCACACAGCGAAACAGGAGAAGGGAAGAGAGTTCCACAGGCGAGAGGTGCGAGACATGAAGCTATTAGAGTTGAAAAAACGGCTACATTTAGGAGTTTCGGCAGTGAAGGGGTGAGAGCGGGAAGCCAGCCTCGTAGAGCGCTGGAACTCATGACATCTGGGAACCAGCGAATGCAGCTCCTCGGAGCAATTGCCATGAAAGTATTTGTAGAACAGACAGAGGGAGTCGACGGAGCGTCTGTGAGAAAGTGACTGTAGACGAGACGCCAGGGTAGGGCCAACCATATTGCATATCCGCCTCTGGAGCTTATCAAGAACCCCGAGGCAAACAGAAGGGGCGCCAGACGATATATGGCAGCAATACTCCATGCAAGGGCGAATTGTGGATTTGTATATCTGGAGGATCGAAAAAAACTTCCTAGCGCGGCTCAGGGAACCAACTTTCCTCGCAGAGGACGAGGCAATTGACTCGATGTATTTATTCCATCTCAGGTCAGCAGTCAACGTGAGACCGAGAAGCCGCAGAGTTGCTCTCGAGAAGTTGAGCGTCAGACATTCTAATGGAGGGAAGGAAGGCTCTCTGTGGTGATTAATAGAGAGCAGTTTTGTCTTCGAAGCGTTGAAGTTGACCAGCCAATTCATGCCCCAGTTCACAATCGATTGGAGGTCCTTTTCGAGACGCAAAAATCTGCCATTCGTTTTTACATTGAATATTGCTGCCGCATATGTTCTGGTGCTACTGGAATATATTTAGAAATTCTTCATAAAATCCAAAGAAGAATCATCAACATTATTGGTCTTGACGTGGCATCTCGGCTTCAGCCAAACTTCCGCCGCCATGATATAGCTTCCCTATGCCTATAAACAGTTTATGGATATTTGTTCTGATGAACTTTCTTTGATGTATCGAAACTTTATGAATTTAAGCGAAGTAATAAATTAGGAGCAATGTCTCGTCAATTCACTGTTAAATTGGATATATGTAAACATAATTCCTTTTCTCTCAATTCTCGAATATGGAACTCCCTTCCGGTGTCTAGATTCCCAGTCAACTTTGAGATTCAAAAATTTAAATGCTATATCACTCGTCATCTATTGTCTTCTTAATTTCAATTATTTTATTCTTGTCTCCACTTAATAGAATTTTTCTCATATTTTCAGCAACGCCTTGCGTCTTAGTGTGTTTATTCCCTTGCTTGGGATGAAATGATAAACGTCCTCTAATGCAAACTTAAATCCAAAAAATAATTTTAAATATTAAGTATTATTCCGAATTTTTGTGTTTCAATCAATACATTCTGCATGTACAAGTCTCGCTGTTTACACCCTTTAAAAACGATAAATAATTCGTTTAAACGTTTCATTCACAATTAATAATTATTTTTGCACAGATATCAATCTATACCTTTACAAACAGAACATAGGTGTGTAATAAATGGTTGAGAAATACTTCTTTTACACGCTGCAATGAAAGTTACTGTAACTCTCGTGCCAAAGAAATTATCTCTTAATTTATTTTGGTTCTCGAAACGTCGAGGTTGGATTCATTCAATCATTGATCAAATTGAATGAACAGACACACAAAAACGTATACACATACATATTGAGTAAAACATTGAATGGGGGTTTGTTAACATAGATAGATAGATAGATAGATAGATAACAGGTTGAGATAGATTGGTAGATAGATAGATAACAGGTTGAGATAGATAGATAGATAGATAGATAACAGGTTGAGATAGATAGATAGATAGATAGATAGATAGATAGATAACAGGTTGACATAGATAGATAGATAGATAGATAGATAACAGGTTGAGATAGGTAGATAGATAGATAACAAGTTGATAGATAGATAGATAGATAACAGGTTGACATAGATAGATAGATAGATAGATAGATAACAGGTTGACATGAATAGATAGATAGATAGATAGATAACAGGTTGACATAGATAGATAGATAAATAACAGGTTGACATAGATAGATAGATAGATAGATAACAAATTGACATAGATAGATAGATAGATAAATAACAGGTTGACATATATATATATATATATATAGATAGATAGATAGATAACAGGTTGAGATAGATAGATAGATAACAGTTTGAGATAGAAAGATACATAGATAGATAACAGGATGAGATAGATAGATAGATAGATAGATAGATAGATAGATAACAGCTTGAGATAGATAGATAGATAGATAGATAACAGCTTGAGATAGATAGATAGATAGATAGATAGATAAATAGATAGATAGATAACAGGTTGAGATAGATAGATAGAACAGAATTAGAAAAAAAATGAATGCAAAGCGAATCGTCATATTTGTCTTTTATTTTCCTTTCACCTCCCTAAATTCTTATTCTCCCTCGCTCTCAGTAGCGTCTTCGTGGCATTACCGAGTTTAGCGCAGCACACATTTGAAGGAGCTAGGCAAATTTTATCCCTGACCCAGGAGTACGCGCTCCACTTCCCCACATTAAACCCAAGCTTATTTCACAACGCGTCTCAGTAAAGAGACTGGGTAAATACTACCTGTGATGTGACGGAATTTTATTATAATGTTTGTTTTTAGCGGGTGTTGTTTAGCTTAGTCTGTGCCGCATAATAACATATCGGAATGAAAAAGAGAAATCATCGTCAACATCTGTATTGTCTTCTACTTCCGCTAAATGGTAATTGTCTATTTTCATCCCATCGGGCCAGCATAGCCAGGCAAGAATTCTATAAAAATTGAAAATCGGTATTTTGAAAATCTGGGAATAAAATAGTTGGAAAGGGCAAAAATGATTAAATGATATTCAAGCCGGGATTGCAAACTGCGAGATCTGAACTTGAGAAATGTCTTTATGATGTTCGCAATGAGTGCTGTTAACATCTGCGACTATAAAGAGACGCGACAATAGCCGAGAGCAGAGATGACGATATTCAGTCACCACCCCCACGAGGGTGTCATGTGGCACAAGGCCTTTTTAACGTGGTCATTCCGAGCCCGTGGACTCTGCCAAAAATTTGCCCATTGAACCCGTATAAACGGGTTCAGGGCCGGTCTACCTCACCGAAGAAGACTCCGCCCTTCGGCGTAGCCTCCTTCGGGTTCCTCTGGTCCGTAGGAAGAGAGTTCAACCGAACAGTCGCTCAGAATGTACTGACTCGACTGACTCAAGAGCAGAGATGACTAACCACTCACCCGCAGGTCATGAACTGACCCACTCACAACTGACTTATTTAATATCTATCTTCCTATATGGTAGTGAATGCTGGACAATCTTCTCACAGATGAAGAGACATGAAACAACAGAAACAAAGAAAAGCGTACTGAACTGTTATGTAGTATCAATCTTCTTATATGGCACTGTATGTTGGATAATCTCCCCAAACATGGAGAAGGAACTTAAAGCAACAGCCATATACTTCCAAACAAGGATGCTGAGAATACAATGGACTGAACATCGATGAATTTCTAGAACGCATCAGAAAGATAAGGTTTTCTAGATTACCTAATGAAGAAGAAGGGCTTGTATACAGAACAGATTGAAGGTAAGAGAGACAGAGGAAAGCAACGCACGACCTGCCTGGCGAGTTTGAGCAAATGGATGGCTAAGCGGTGAAAGATAGCAAAAAGACAAAAGTTATTAAGAGGTACAATGTTGTGGAGGTCCATATTCGCTAACGTCATGAAGGTACACAGCACTTAGAAGAACTTGCTGCAAATAACAATGTTACTCAAACTTTTTTTTCACGGCAAACGTGTCTCCAGATTTAAACTTCTGCGTCTCATTTAAAATTATGAAGTTCAAAAAAATAAAGAAAAAAAAAGAGTAAAAATGAGAGAATATTTTTTATGATTTATTTATTTACATAAAAAAAAAACATGTTTCTTTTTTTTAAATTTGTAATAAAAAATAATAATTAAAAATCATAAAAATCTTATATTCATTCATTTATCTGTTTATTATAATTTAATATTTAATGAAATGTCTGAGCTTGACGTCTTTTTGGAATATCTTCCTTGTAATGTCGAATCTTCGACAATCATACTCCTATGTCTTCTTCCAAGGATTCAAGCAGGGATCGATTTCTGGTTTTAATATCGCTTTTTGCAGAAAAGATTCATCTTTATATTATTTTGTATATGATATATAGTTGGCTTTGGTTTGTTTAACGGCACATCAACACCTTATGGGTCATTTAATGCCGAAATTTAATTTGGGGAAATTTGAATTTTTTCTTTACTATTAAAATTTATTACTGGATTAAGTTTTTGCTATTAAAATCTATTTTGGGTTTTATTTTATTATTAAAAATTATTGCTAGAATTTTTTATTTTATTCTATGATAATCTATTTGTAGAATTTTTCTATTAAAATCTAGTGCTATAATTTTAACTTTATTCTACTAAAATCTATTTCTGGGGTTTTCTC